GGAATTCAAAAGTCCAACAAACTTTAAACATGACCTGCAGTTTCGGTGAGGTACAGCTCTGGCAACAACAGCAGACTTAGCATCATATAAGCTTCTACTTCTTGTACTACTTATACTAATCAAGTACTTAATTATCACCTGAAAACGGTGAGAATAGAAAGCAGTTAGCCAGATAAATAGATACTGCTTTGGAAAAGATCAAGGGACATACAACAATAAAAGGAGTTAGCCTATCTGACAATGCTGCTCTTCTGCTCTACAAGGGAAAGAAAATCATATAAAACACATGCAGCAGCAGCACTAAGAGAAATAGCCTTGTCACATCCATGGCAGAGGGGTTGGAACTAGGTGATCTTTGACATCCCTTCCAACCCTAACCATTCTATGATTCATCCACAGCCTGGACACCTGAATTTCAGACTGCCATGAAACTTGTTCCAATTCAAGCCTTGGAAATTCCACGTGCAAGCAACGAGAGATTAACACGATGTGAATCACAGAATAAATAAGGTTAGACAGGACCTTTGAAGGTCATCTATTCCAGCCTCCCGCTCAAAACAGAACTAACTTCAAGGTTAGATCAGGTCGCTTAGGGCTTTCTCCAGTCAACCTCTGACAATCTCCAAGGGTGGAGATTCTATATTCTTTCGGTGCAACCTGTTCCAGTGCTTCACCGCATTCACTGAATGTTTGAGGTTCTCCCTCCCCATTACCCAGGCAGAATCTCCTTGCTGTGATCTACCTGTGCCCCTTGCCTCTTGTTCTTTCAGTATACACCTCTGAGAACAGTCTGGCACTGTCTATATCTTACTATTTTAGGAAGTTGAAAACAATTAGATCCCCCTTCTTCACCAGGCTGAGCCAATGCAGTCGCCTCAGCCTCTCTTCTCCCATACCTCTAGCTTGCCAAGGTCCTTCTGAGCAGCAACGTTGCTCTCCAGCACAGTGACCACTCCTTCAGTTTGGTGTCACCCACAAACTCTCTCAGGCTGCATTTCAGCCCATCCAGGCCCGCACACATACAAGCTGCTCCTCCCTTTCTTGTCATCCCTGTCTACCTTTCCATTGCATTTCTGCCCCTACCTCTCCTTTCCCAGATCAGGTATTTAGGATGTAGTTCAGTAGCTCAGCACTGAACACTGCCAACAATTCTGACTCCACAGTCCCCAAGAAAGTGAATGAGCTTTCTGGAGAATTTCCTTGGTTGCATCTCTGACTTCCGTAAGAACAGTCTGATTGATGCAACAGGGTTTTAACAGGCTTGGTCAGTCCATTGCAATACTCAAACACCATGCACACAGAGACTGATTTTCATTGTTATCTAGACTATAAGTGCAGTAAAGACACCATCAGAGCAGCAAAAGAAAGATCAGGAAAAGACTAATCTTTACAGCATCTTTAAGAAGGCACAGACAGATCAGGCCAGCAGTTTTATAACAGAAAGCTACTGAGTTACACAGAACTGAAGTTTCACTGCCCTGCAATGCCTAGAACTAGAAGACCGCTGTGGTTCTGTCAGCAAGGACAACAGCTTTTTTCTGGAAATTTTTTTTTCCTTCACCCTTACTCCCATCTTTACAGGTATTTCTCTATTAATAAACTAAAATACCCTTGGAAGAAAAATTCATAGCAGTCTAGTGCCGACTGACAGGCATTATGTCCAGTCTAGGAAAACGGGGAGGAATGGAATCAGGTACATAAGATGGATCTGATTATTTTAGGTATAAACTGAATTGAACCCATTACGACGTTTGCGATTCCAAAAATCCCTAAGGGAAGTATCAAACTCAGACTCCTTCATTTGTCCCACAAAAGGCAACTTACACTCTACTGGTCTTGCAATGCACATCACACCACAAGTTTTCTGTAGTTACCAACTCATTACTGTTCCTCCCTCTTTCTCCAAACACCACTCTAATTGCTCACAGCTCCCCTGACTACTCCTTTTGGCTAAAGGATAGGCTTCCCTAAAAAAAAAAAAAAGTGTTCCATAGCCCTTAACTAAAAAAAGCTTCAAAGAGGATTCTCAGGCATTAAAACATACAGTCAGTGCGCTTGGACTGAAGTAAAACATATATACACATAGTCCAAAAGGAGCTAAACTATTTTATTTTTCAAGAACTTCACCTCACCTCCTGTACAGCTCCTCCTCTGCAGCAGAAGACTTCTGACCAGAGACACTTGCCATTGGCGGCTGGATTCCTAGAAAGAACAGAAACCTGTGACAATATAGTACAAAATAGTCCTTCATCACATCATCAATTATATGAAATTCTTCTATTCTCAAGTATGAGTGTTATCCCAATCAAGTGAAAAAACCAATACACCTCGAAAAGTCTCAACAAAATTTAAGTCTGATGAAAGGTGTTTGAATTCATGAAACAGTGAGACACTGACAGCATCGTCTTCAACAAGACACACTGACCAAGGCATGCTACAGAAATGTCTAGGTAAGGATGCTAACTCGTCAAACCCTGGTTTATACTGAAGAATGAGCATGGTTTTAGACCTACTTTTCATTTCCTTCCTCTAGTTCCATTACGTCTTCCCCTTGACCTCCTGCTTTCCTCATAATTACAAGGGATCCCACAAGTGGAGATGAAATTATTTGATGAAGTTCAGGCCATCCAAAAGGCTGAATCCACTTTCAGGAAAGATGTTGGCTAACAGAAAACAAATCTTTAAAAGCAAAGGCCTGGTTCCCTAACTTCATGTTAGTCTGGATGCCTTAAACAAATCCACACTGATAACATATATCAACAAAGAATATTTGAGAACCAAGAGAAATCAAATCGTTTTCTGACCTGTAAAGAAAGACAAGTTCAGAAATCAAGTTCTCATCAT